ACAAAATTCCAGATTTTTGTGAGTCCAATCTCTCGAGAAAGGAACATTCATTTTGGCTGAAACTTTTAGGACATTCTAGGGATCATTAGGCCTACTTATGGGCAAAATTTCTGCTCAAAATTCCTTCCTTTGATTTGCCTCGAAGTACCTTGCAATTGGTAAAAAATTCAATAAAACGGTCATAACTCCGGAAGATAGGCCTAGCAGCCCTTATCCTTTTGGACTTTTTCTAGTCTCACTAACGCCTACATGATGCACATAGTCCCGACTCAAAAGCGATTTTACACTTACATATGTGACCTCGTTAGTGTGAAATAAAAACGTGCTTTTATCATGGCTTTATCTTAGCACAGAAGCAGTCAAATGATCTGAAACTTTCATAATGAACTATTCTTGTTAAGATCTATCTACATGCAAAGTTTCAAATAAAAAGTCAAAATTTAGTCTTCCTGTTATTTTCAAAGCGACCAGGACATAATGCTAAAATATGCTGTGAAATCAGAATATCTCGGTAGCAAGCAGCTCATAACTCGTTAGGACTGACGTGATGCGCATAGTTTAGATTCAAAAATGATTTTGATTTGGAGTTGAAATTTTCACAGCACTTTACTAACTAATAGACTTGTCTGGGAGCAAAACTTCAGGTTCAAATATCATCATTCAATTTGTTAGTATATATTGAGCCGGAGGCTAAAATGCTTATAAATCTTGACAGAAGGCCTCAGCCGACTTATCGTTATGAAGTTTATCATATCTCTCTGATAAAATCTGCTTGTTTTCGATATCATTATCGATCTATGAAGATATTTTGTTCAACCGAATTCCTTTTATTTAACTATTAAATCTGATGTAGTTTCCATTGATTTGAACTTTCGGTTGTTTTTTGTGATATCTATATCAAATTTTTTTCCTAATGACAATTAATATCTCATATATTTCTGAACATTTTAAATAGAATCTTAATCTATCGAAGACACAATCACCTGGATTATTCGATGATGAACGATTATTCTCACCTGAGCCACATAATCAATCAAATTTAACAATAATATCTAAATTACGAAATAAAATTTCACCAGATATCAAACAAAATCAAACAACAGCATCACAAAGATCGTTATCGACTTGTTCAAAATCTTTTTTTATTGAACCATTGCAAGAATCTACAATTGAAAATCCAATATTGTTAATAAGAGATGATTTAACAACTTCACAAACATTATCATCATTAACAAGATCGAAATCATCTACATTTATGTAGAATAATATCAATGAACAAAACACATGCGATGATCTTTTGCATAATGAAATTTAACTCAACTTCAGAAGAACAAAGGTTATATTAATCACTTTATTCAAATAGTTCGACAAGTCAATCTATTCTATTTCTATTTAAAGTTTGTGTTTATCATACAACAAAATAATGCAATATCCAACATTTAACAGATATAAGTTATTATTCAAGAACATGAATAATAACAATTCAAGTCTTATATATGATAAAAAAACACAGTACTTTTATGGTTATATTCTCATGAAATCGATCTACTAAATGCTGATTATTTTATAATAAGTGAATCATCAAATCTTTTTTGCATTTTATTGTTTATCAATTGTTAACAAAGATACAGATATTTAGTTCTTATTATGAATAAATTTTTTTCTCTTAAATAAATATCTTCGATTAGACTTTGCTCATATATGTAGATTAATATGAACGAAAAAGCTGTTAGCGCAGTTTCTACGGTATTAAAGTGTGAAATACGATTGAGCTGCTGGTATTGTAAAAGAGACGATTCATCAATATATATTTTGGTTTATGGATTGAAATATTTAATAAGTTCATTTACATTTAGAATCTACTTATTTGAGTCCGATTGGACTGTGAACATTGCTTATATTTCTATATTTATTTTATTCTACATATCATTGTGAATTATTGAGTAGAATTTTCAGAATGTTTAATAAATTTAAAAATATTCATTGAATGTCATTTATTAACATATTGATTACCGAATTGAAAAAGTCAGTTAATTAACAGTGGTTCTGATTATTGTCATTAATTGAATTCGACATAAATTATAGATTTTGTTTTTCTAATAAAAGGTAGCAATCCTTGTGAATATACTGAATTCAAGACACTTGTACATTGAGTCAATTGTTAGGAGAGTAATTTTAAAAGTATCCTATTGCCAGTATGCCACATAATGTTATTTTCTTCACTGAACGGAGGGTCATATAAAGTAAAATGAGTTTGCTAGCACATTCAAAATGATGTGTATACATATATTTGTCAGGGTATTGACCAGGTGTTTGAAATGAAGGTCTTTTTTCTATGTTGGAAATCGAGCTAAACAAGTGTGCGTGTAGTTCTAAGTATGTGATGTTTGTGTGAGTCAGAGTAGAAGTGTGACGATTCGGAGAGACTGGCGAAGCAGTACACGATGTTACAGGTTTCTCTCTCGTTTCGTTTTATCAACAAAATTTTGCAAGAACTGGTTAGTGTCTTTCATGTTTTTCTAGTACTGCTCATCAACGATTAGAATGCGCGTCGAAAAGCTCCGACAAATGTGCGCATAGGTGTAAGCAATCACACGGGACATCAATAAACTCTCGCAACCGTCTCGGGTGTGTACCGCATAGCTTCATCTGAGCTGAGGATAAGCAGATAAACATAAGAGATAGAAAATTAAATTCGTGAGATCTTAGATAAAAGTAGAGTAATCCCAACCGTTTAACGAAAGATCAATGCATCAATAGTATTTGAAAACCATAATATATTTTTGTTCACTCGAAAACTCATACAATATTATTGATGATGAAGCTTGGTAATCAGATGTCTTTAAAAGTTGCGCTTTATAGAGTCGTACAGTAGTCAATGAAAGCTAATGATTGTCATGTGAAGCAACCCCAGAATATTGCCACGATCTTAACTATAATAGAAAAAGAGTTCGAAATAACATGCAGCTAAAATGAAATATAATGTCTATGGGAAAACTCGCATAGCTATACTTTCATGAACTGCTGGATGATCTTAAATGAACCTTTTCAGAACTATTGATTATATATGTCATCACGCAGTACCTAACCATAGGTTTCGAATACTTTTATAATAGAAGATAATGACGGATTGAATACGGGATGAGTACATGGTGTTTGCTTAGTTGTCTGAAGAACCATAATGATAAAATCTTAGACACGCTGCTGTCCACAATGGCTTGCTTTAGACATGATTCGATTATTTCGACTTTATTCATCATCAAATAATAAACTTCATATGTAACCATAAATAAATGTAAGAAGTCTTATACGACTAACTATTCCGTCAAATCTCGGTCAAAGTTTGCTCGGGAAGAACGAAAAAAAAAATTTCGAGGTTATGAATATCCGTATTTTATCTTGCGACAAATCGAATTTAACAAGATACAAAGTAAACTGTTGTTTTTACCATGACGCCTTCAAAATGTATCATTAGTTTACATTTCTTTCTGTAAACAAGTAATTGCAAAAGCATCCAAAACTTGCAACATAAAACTATTATAAATTTGCGTAACCAAAAAAAAAATAATCACGAAAAGACATCATCTATTCAATGTACATTTTAACATATCGAATATCTCAAAAAGTTTCATCCATGACGACCAAAATTATTTTAACTCTGCTTGCATTACCGGTAGAACTCATCTATCGAATTCTTGATCATCTTGTAATGTTATTGTCGACAGCTATCATCGATTTCTGTTAAAACATTATTATATCGAAAAATTTGTCTTTCATTATCTTCAATACATTATTCATTTATCTAAGGTATCAATCTATATATCATCTCACTAGAGAATTTCTCTTAGCTAACCATCCATTATTCGATCGAATGAAATAAATTTGATGATTTCTTGAAAACTATCTATATTTTAAGTCCCAGTCGAAACCAGTCATTGACTACTCATAATAATTGAAGTTAACTAAAAAATGCCACTACTAATAACGCAAGAGTCACGAAAATTAAATACCATTCGTTGAAATGACGATAACTTGAATAATAATTACTAAGTGGATCACACTTACAACTACATTTAGAAGACTATCACTGAAACTTTAAATAACGAAAACCGTGCCAAAATCGATTGTTTCCATGAATAATGCCTTTACAACATTATTGATACAGAGCGATATATGAGAAGCTTCTTTCCATTATACATCAGCTAAAACAAATAACGCAATACAAAGAACGTTCAAGAAACAAAAGAAAAATTCAAACAATGTATTGAGCGTGACAGCATAAACAGTTGTTCCTATCAATGAGAAATTTTCGTTTTTCTACATAAAAAATTGATGGGAATGAAAATTTATTAATTCGAAAAATTTCAGCCAATACTACTCTTCATTATTCTTTTCCGAGGTTCGAAATTCGCTTCATCGATTCCAAAACATTTTAAAGGTACTTTATATCCACTACAGAAATTTATATACTTGCTGATATTTTGTTGTGCCTGTTTTCTTAAAACAAAAATATTCCGATATCGATGAACTAAATCAAAGACTTTCTAAATGAAGCAACAAATAATGTTATAGGTTTGATTACAATATCCTTTCGCAAACCCACCCATCGTTTCAACTTTTTTATTCTCACACTTGGACACTAACCACACTGAGCTTCAACTACGATAGAATCGGTGATGAAGAAAAACAACATCTTGTCAAAACTTTCGCAAAAAGCTCAATAATATTTCTATCTTCTCTATCTAGTATCCCATGTACTTCATGTAAACAGACACTAGTCACACTGAACCTCAGTAGGAATGGAATCAATGATCAAGAAGCACAACATGCTGCCCACACTCTGCAACAAAAGCGAATATAACTTGAATTTCTCTTGATGACACGGATTATTGCTATATTGACTCTCCTGATACTGCACATGTGAATGTGGATGCGAATGTTTGTGGACACTTGTAACTTCTCTTCATCTACACTCACTCCTGTTTCCGACTGATTTTCTACAAGAATTTTAATTGTGCTGTTTATTCATGTACGTTGTCTTTTGATTTGATTTGAAACAGGAATACATTGTTTGTTTCTCATTATAAATCAACACAGAGTTAGTTGAATACATAATAAGCATGACTGCATACAAGTATCCTCTGACTGAGTCTGATGTTAGATGATGAAAGAAATTTTGTGTTGCGTTTCGAATCTCTGTCTTTTCGATGTAATCAAGCGTAATGGTGCGAAGATATTCAGCATACATGCTGACGGGCAGATCGATGAATTTCGGTTTTAGAAACGTGAATGCTTCATATAAATGAAGCAACGGATAGGTAAGATCATCATCGAACATCTCTATACCATATCATTGTGGTTTGAGTCCTAGATGTCATCGGCCTGGTGCTTTGCACTCAATGAATTACAGTCCACATCCGACACATTGTCATATGGAGGGATAATTGATAGAGCATCTTTTAGATATTATATCCATGGATTCACAAGTTGAGTCGCGTTGTTTGCAAAGCAACCTATGAGTTGCTATAGTTTGGTGAAGTAAATAAAAAGAATGTGCTTTCATTCAAATCGTTCGTTTGTTGCAAATGTCTTATTAATTGCTCTATTGAATCTTGTTTAATTGAAATATTCTGTGTTTGTTTTTCAAATGAAATATATATACGATCTTGAATACACAAGTAATTCAATCCTGCTTGAAAATCCCATCGAAAAAGATCGGATCCGATAGGTTTCTGTTGAATTTTATTATCAGATATTATTAGAATTGCTTTAATCTTTCTCTCGGAAAAAAATGGAAAATGCGAGACTTCATAACAGATCTAGCTGGATTTCATCAAAATCTGGCACACATATTCTAAATCAGATTATGTCGGAAACATGTCAAACCGATCTTTTAAGATCTATTTATCGAAACACATCAAATGCAGCGAAATATGGCGTATGAAACCAACTGACAAGTGTGAAAATTGATCGACTTCCAAGAGTAAAATCTGAGGCAGATTATAACAGAAAAATTCTTTGACTCAATTTCTAATCCTATGTAGGGTCTTCTCAAACTGTTCAATCGCCAAATCTTACTAGTTTACTAAATATTCTAGAATGATATAGTTTTCTGACTGCTTGCGAGTAGAGATATGCATATATCACTATATTCAATTTTCGAACTGTTAACTATGATAATATATATTATATATCCATGAAATAAGTTTTGGTTGAGTCTCAATTCATGTCTTTCATTTCGATATTTAGAGTTATCTATTATCTCATTGTTGAAAGATGAATCAATGTTTCGTGAGAGAGATATGAATCTATTTTTGTTATATCAATCTATAATCTAATTATAGGATGTGTGTTTAGTATGGACTAGAAGCATCAACTTGTTTCAACTGTCATCGAAATCTTCTACTTAGGAATTTTACAATTCAGTCATGATATATACACTTAAGAGTTGTCCGCATTCATAGGGTACAAATCATCGGTATGACATATTGTATTCATTATTTCAATAGATACTACTTTCACTAACTACAAATAGTCAACTCTATCTTCTGTATATTTACCTAAATTTACGTTTACAGAAGACTTGTTGACGATATATTCCCTAGTGAGGCTGTTGTGAGTGAAGGCTTCATTTTTGTCAATGAAAATATGAGTATGTGATAAACAATGCCTTACCCACATCAGTCATCACACAGTGAGTTGATGCTGAAAAGGACGATCTAACCGATCATTTTACTCTGGGTTCATTTCTATACCCATCTTGAGAATAAGCAAATAATAGCTTCGATTCAATACAAGAGCATCAAATCACCAATATGTGCGTCATCAGTTAACTAATCGCTGCAAGATTTAATCGACGTGATCAATGTACCATCACCTGGAAAGTGTCATTTATGCTTTTGCTTAATCCTTGTAAAACCATATGGAGCAGTGTGGCAAAATGACAGAAATCATTGTATTTAGCAGAGCTGGCACCAGAATCATAATTAGATTAAAAAATGAATTAAGCACAGCAACAATTACTAATAGCAGTCCTTATCTGTTACAGGTATGTTCAGATCCGAACAAACATGCCTAAAATATTAAAAATAGGCTCTGCAAAATGCATTCACTCTTGAAACTGTGTTTATATGACCATCATTCTTCAACTGATTCCCTTGTTGCTATCTGTTTGCGGAAAACAAAGTGATGAATGAATGATGAACCCATGCATTACTGCTAATTTCTAATGCTATCTATGGGTGGTACCCGTAACCCTTTCAGAGCTATCTCAGTGTGGTACTTTCAATTTATTGATGAATATTTGGACTTTAGATTGTATAATTCGATGCCTAAGATCGTTGAATCCAATGAAGTGTTTTGTAACAGTGATTGCATTCGAATGGCTTCTCTAGAACCTTAGTATATTAGAAAAACATTTTGTTACTGTTGAAATTTATATGACATTCATGATTTTCTGTGACATATTCCAGTTACATTGAACTTGGAATAGTATGTACTGAAAAGTCTGTCAAAGCTTCAAGCAATATATGTTGGCTATTAATAACCTGTACAATTGTCCGTTAGATTCCTAATGATACATATAAACTATCTTATATTTCTAGTCCCTGTGATAGTCTGGCGTGAGTGTGGGTGGTCAGGTAAATATTGAGAAGGACCACATCTACACTGTTGAACATCGAGCAGGTTAACATATCAGCAGCTTTTATTGTATCGCTTCACATCATCTAGCCAAGATTTAAATTAAAGGATGTTACAACCGATTTAGCTGCTTGTACATAATCGCTACCTGAAACTTTAGTTTTTGCCCATTTACATTTCTAATCAATTATCGTGATTAGACAATTTTCATTGAATATAAGTTGAATCTATGACTGCAATCATCAGACTTCCATGCGCTACAATTCAACTTTTACTATTTTTATGAAAATGTGTATTTTAGTTTCAATACTTCGGAGACTACTATTTTCTTAATGAAATTATTGACAGCGATAGTCATTTTGAAGATCAACAGGTTGTCTTCCTCGTTGTTTTTTTCTATAGCAATTGAAAATTACTCATAGGTCATCGTATAAAACTGTAATACATACTTTCCAGCATTGCCAGAGCAAAAAGTTAGAAATCAGAATATTGGCAATGGAAATTCAGAAAATTAGGAAATGCTTCATATCACTTTCGAGAAATTGTCGGAAGGTATTTATTTGATGCTTAAATGCATATATTGCCTTTATTTTATTGAAATATCTTTTGCTCTAGCAGCATTTTATGTGAAAACTGTTCGTGACATAGGTTTTTTTACTTTTGAATTATCATATGAAAAGTTTGTTGTTAAACTTAAAACTCAGTTTACATTGGCGAAATTATTTATTCAAATGGCTTCTTTTAATAATTCACTCTTCAGTTTAGTTCGGAAACGCTTTAGATGCAAGAGAACTTGTACTGTTAGTAATCTCAATGCTTTGTAGTATCATATAATCATTAGAGTAGTATAACGAAGATATATTCAATTGATTGTAGGAATTAATGCCGAAGTTATAGTTCAGATTCATAAAAGCTGGAATTTATCGAAATATAACAATTTGGAAAAAATTCGGCAGCATTCAGAAAGTCGAAAGTCGTTCAGAAAAAAATGTACAAATTCGAAAACTTTCCTGTTGTTTCGCAAGATCTAGCGACCTGGTCTGAAGGACTAGTGAAAAAAATTTTGAGATGTCCCATACATTATTGGATAGCTGTATTCAAGAAAATATCTAGACAGGAATAGTCAGATAGTTCTACATTGTAGATTTCAGCTCCTGTCAGTAGATTAAAAAAAATCGCCAGATATTTGGATTGATCTTATGAATGAAATGAATAAAGTTACAAAACATCATTAACATTATCCTTAGTCTTCATTTGATTATATTTCTTTCCAATTCGTTCGAGTTTTTGTTCATCCTATGTGTAAAATTAGAATGTTGTTGGAAATATAACTATATTCAATGCTCAAAAAGTTTGGACATTGACCAGTTGATGTTGACAATGAAGGCATTCATGCCGAAAAGTAGTACCATAGTTTTCAAATTGAATACGTGCTTAGAATGTGTCAAATGAAATCTTGACTTAAATGTATTTGAAAAGTGTTTGTACAACATTGAATAGAAACAACGACAACGAAGTAAACAACATGCAAATCTGTAATGATTAGTTTGAGTTTTATGTCTTTCCATTATTTGACAATGGTTGAACTCGATTATAACAGCAATAAAAGAAGGATTTGACAACAAGAAGTACAACAAATTTCAAAACAATTGTTAGACCTCGAATCAATCCAATAACAGTGGTGATGACAACAAGCCATATTTTTTTGTCTACATATGAATAAGTACATGTGATTGGTTGACATCGATCATAATACGCCTTATGTGATGTTATATTCGTCCATTCTTCAACCATTAATCGATCAACGATACTACCAATTGTTGAATCTAGTGCAAACCGACTAGGTAAACTTCGATCAAGTGCTTTTGTGTTGACTTCTATAGAAGAATTCATCATGTTCTTAAATGTATCAATACAGGATTGATTATAAAAGCAGACAAGACTGGATTGCAAAAGAGATTCTACAATATAACAGCTGATAAACAAGCCTTGTATAGAATATCGTAGAAAACTTTGAGTACCGCTTGGATTTTTCGAGTAGAAACCCGCTTTAGTAATACATGTTCTTCTTTGCTGACAAGTACAATTCAACGATTCATTGATGGTCCGGGTGGGATAGTATGTTCTGACAACAATGCTATCATTCTGAGGCATGGCAGTGTATACAATATTACCTGACGCCATTGATCGAAGAGCATTACCTTGAGTAGTATCCTGTACAAGTCGAATCGAACGTATAAATGTATTTGTGATGGATGAGATAAATGATTCAATGAATGATTGAGATTCTACTTGAAAGAGATTAATATCCATGACATGACTTGTCACAAACTGTTTGGCATTAAATACGATCAATTCATCATCGATGGCTCTTCGAGTCATATTGCAAAGTGAACTCAATGCACGAAAGAAAGTTGGACCAATGATACGGAAATCTTGAATCGAAATATCTCCTTTGAATGAATTAGACATCCACCCTGGCCAACTCTCTGTTACATATATGCTTTGACATATTTGATGAAAACGAACGACTTTCAATTCAATGAATTGATTATATGGAATGGAGATAGTTGTACAAGGACAGGAAAGTGTTTGAGAATATCTTTTAAATATAACTGTATACTGATTGTATGAGGGCATTTGAATAGTAATTATTTGTGTGACAGGTATTTGAGATTCATAAATGATCAGTATAAAAAGGGAAGTAAGAAGAAGAATGATAAAGACACGTGTTGAAATAATCTGTACTTTTCGTTTGTATGCAGCTTCGGTGATCGATGCCGGTGGTGTGTAGAACAAATTAAAATCGACAATGATTTTTTTGATTTTTTTCCATAATTGATGAAACTTCTCAACGAATGACAACTCTAAAATCACGAAAAGACAAATATTGAATTTCTTCGATGCCGTGAAAATGACTTCGAGAGTGTCGGAGACCGAAAATTTCTTTAAATTATCGATTGATTAGACAAATACAGTTACGAGAAGGTTGACCTGTTCTTTTTCCTAGTCACGTCAGTTTTCTAAAATGCAAATTTTTCCTTCTCTAAGGCACACTATATCCACTACATCTCGAGATGAAATATTGATTTTACTCTAATGACTAATATTTTCAAAAGCAAAGAAAATTACTTTGCATGGTTGTTGAAGTTTGATAAATTCGGTGCAATAGAAATTTGACAATGACAGGAACGAGAACTTTGTAAATCATCGCTAGGCCAGCAATTAATCCAATAATCGTAACAATAGCATGCAAAAATTCATCATTACTTCTGTAAGAATATATACACTTGGTAGGTTTGCAACTTTCATAGAATGCTACATGATTTAATGTACTTGTCCAGTTTTCTACCATCTTAACTGCGACTATATCCCTTATGAGTGAATTAGCAGTAAATCTACTCGATGTTGGAGTTGAATCGAGAGCTGCTGCCTGAAATAATCGATCGATACCAATCATAGAGTGAAAATTATCTAGACAGCTCTGATTGTAGTAGCACTCAAGAGTTGACTGAAGTGTTGCTTCTTCAACGTAACAACCAAGCCGAAGCCCGGCTACTGTGTATACGAATGACTCAACAGACCAATCATAAAACTGTAGTGGATCAGTACAACTAGGTGAGAGCAAACACGTGCATGTTTCGTTGTTGAACGCCCTGTAGAGACCTATCAAAGTGACATGAGGAAAAATGCCGGCAATACCTTGCCATGCAACAGTTTGAAAACCACTGTCGATTAGATTGTTCGACTTTGATTCTCTGTTGATATCTAATAGACGAACAAAATTACTCGTTATTGATGAAGTAAACAATTGTACTAATGCTTGAATTTGTTTCTCGAAAAGTTCAAAAGGAAGAACTTCATGAGAAATGAACACAGAAGCGTTGAATGCATTGCCATCATTGATAATGCTTTTATTGGCTAGACGACACCAAGAAGCTAGAAGTTGCATATGAACTTGACCAGTAGCAATAGCATTTGGTATTCGAGAGTTCAGAAGAAGTTTAGAATATGCATCAGAAATGAATACACTTGAACATATTTGATGAAATCGAACATCAACACGAAGAAATTGATCATGTCGAATGGCGATGTTCATACACGGACATGAAAGTGATTTTGGATAGTTTTCGTATAACATAGCGTATGTTGCATATGATGGTGATTCAATGGTGAAAGATTTTGTTATCGGTACTTGCCATCTGCAAATGAAAAGCACCACAAGCGACACAATTAGAATCACAATGTACACACGAGTTGATATCAGTTGTGTCTTCAGTTCGAATTCCGCATTAGCAGCAGGATCTGGTTCATTGGGAACAAACAGATTCATGGTAATAAGCTTTATTTTTATTTTTTTCAATGCATTACGAAAACGATTAATCAACGATATCCCTACGATAGCAAAAGAATATATTTACTTGCTAAAAAAAAAACATATAAGATCTGTATTCTTGCAACACTTCAAATGTTTGGGCACGGAAAGTTCCGTTTAGAGAATATCTATATAACAAAATTCATCGATTTTAAAATAACTCATCTGAAACCAAAGACATCGTCCAGCTATGACTTAGTGTCGAATGTGATGATCAAACGAATTCTACCAAGTCGTATAGATTATGTAGTAAAATACTTCAATGTTTGGTTGAGTGAGTGCAAGTATCTCTGTAAATGGGAATCACCTACTATAACTACACTGAACAAGTTGAAGGCAGGAATGCCTTGCTGTAATCAAACATGTCCCATCTCTCTTCTGGTAATACATTCGAAGTTTTTAGAAAAAATTATGTTAGCAAAACAACGATACTGGGCATAGAGTAATCGGACTTTTGACTCAAATATCTGTTACTCACTATTGTACTAACAATTTATCAAGAAGTGAAAGACAACACGAGTGTTAACATTTTAACTATAGCGTTAGATGTTGATTATCAAAATGCATAAGATAAAGTGTGGCTCATGAGTTTGATCATTAAGGTGTTTAGAGTAAAAATGTCACTAGAACTATTAAAGCTTTTAAAGAGACAAAATCGGGTATTTTATATATCTACATCGATCTGCCACAAGACAGCAGCCTGAGTCCTTATTTATTTACGTTGTCAAAACGGTCGCGCAAGTCTTTTAATTTCCAAATGAGAAAACCAATAATAAATGTCTACATGGAAGTTTAACAGTTAGAAGAAGTTGAGGAATACAAATACTTAGCATTTACATGAACAAGTAAAATCTCTTTGAAACCGACTCTTGATAACACACATATTCAAAGAACATATAGTAAGCTCATATGAATAAAACTTGAAAGTGCTCTCTCAGAGATGGTCGTATGAGAATGCTTTTTGGCTTATAGTTTCGCTTTCTTTGCCTGAAACTCTTCAGTCTATCCTTCCCTAACAAATCCAGAGAAAGAATCATTGCAGAGAAAATATGAAACGTTAGTCAGATTTGTATATAGCTGTCTCTTTGCTCTAGCAAAGAATCTTCTCTCAACCACGAAAGAATTATCCCTTGGAGCCTATGAAAAATGATATATAACGAAAACATTGATTTGGATTGAAAAGATAGATTTGAGTTTGTTCCATTTTTTCTTCAATAGTTGGTTTCATTGGGATTTCTTTCAGAAGAATAAAAACGACTATTTAGAGTACTTTATCTGTCATAAATTAGTGAAAGATTTACGTATAAGGTATTATTCTCTTCTTCTGCTATGGCTTGAATTGCTCACATTTGTTGCATTCTGCGTTTATTACTTCTCCACTTCATTATTTCATTCTTATCTTTTCTCTTCTGGTTCATTTCTTGCTCACCTTTTATCTTTATCATTGTAATTTCTTCATTTTATAACGGCAAACACTATACTACATTTGTGTTTAAATTGATAAAAATAAATCGAGCAGACTCAGAAGAAAAAAACCGTTGAAAGTGAATATACATTAACAGAAAGACATAGAATGGTTTTGGATAATCATGAAAGTCTTCATTGGTATTTAGATAAGTGTCAAAAGACTATGGTAACTCGCATTCGGTAATTGTACCAGCTTGCAGTTATGAGATAGAAAAAATAATGCACTTGAAGCTTTTTGTAAGCGAAAATAGGCAATTAGAAAAAATGTAGCCAGACTCTTGAGTTGACTGTCAATTATATTACTTTCTTACTTTTATGTCTTTACAAAAAATGATGAGTTAATAATTCCAAGTAGAAGGTTTTCTGTAAACAACGATTCTGATTTAGCTTACCTTGATTCACGTTTCGGGGTGATCGAATCCAGTCAATGAGAAGAGGTAAAATCATTCTCAGGGTTATTTGTAAACCTCCAATAAGTCCAATAACAGTGGTGACCACAACAAGCCATGTCTTTTTGTCTACATATAAGTAAGTACATGTTATTGGTTGACATCGATCATAGTATGCCTTGTGTGATGTTATATTAATCCATTCTTCAACCATTAATTCAGCAACAATACTACCAATTGTTGCATCGACCGCAAATCGACTTGGCAAAGATCTATTGAGTGCTGTTGTATTCAATTCAATACTAGGATTAATGATACGTTTCAATGTTTCAATGCATGATTGATTGTAGAAACAGATAAGATTCGATTGTAAAAGAGCTTCAATGATGAAACATCCAGTGCGCATTCCCGGTACTAAGAGTGAGTCATTTTCATCGATATAAATTGGTATTGTGCATAAAGGAGTTTCACCACATGAACAATGATATATATCATATACATAAATGACTGATGATGTAGCATAGACATATTGAGTGATATTTTCACTGGTTGTAAAGGAGAAAATTGAAGGAAAAAAATTAGTCAAGTGGCCTGAAGAAAGCCCATTCGCATGAGTGGAATCACGAATCAATTCAAGTGATTGACTGAATCTTTGTGTCGTACTTGTAATAAACATATGAATCAATGCGTTGATTTGATTCTCAAATATATCACGTGATATCACTGTTCCAGAAATGTATCGAGTAGCCAAGAAATCGATAAGACCATCATTAATTGTCGTATAGGTCAAGTCACAGAGAGAGTCGAGTACTTGGAATAGAGAACTACCAACATATCGAAAATACAATGGTATCCCAATAAAATTTGATCCTATATCAAGTAAATTAGTCCAAGACAATGTTCTGAAGACACTTTGACAAATTTGATGAAAAGAAACAGTTATATTGGTAAATGTTTTGTACTCTATCGCATAGATTGAACAAGGGCAAACGAGCGTTCGAACATACAAATTATACAACTGAGAGTATTCTTCATATGTAGGTTTTTGTACAACGATGCTTCGAGTTACAGGTATCTGTGAT